TTGCTGGTTTACCTGCAACAAGCGAAGTCGTCTCCATGCGACGTCTCTTCCCAACTGTCTCGCCATTTTGTCTTTTCCAAAATTCTTCTCCGAAATCCTCATTTTCTCTTCAAAACATTACCAGAACGACACAAACCCACAGCACAAACTCCCAGACATTCTGCTGCACGCTTACCAAGACATTTTACCGACGAAATGTCTAAAAAGTACCTAGAAATTTGTAAAAAAAATCAGCCCAGAATATTCCCGTCGTACGAAATCGCCATTTTGAAGGGACCATGCCAAACTTGTTCTTACACAGGTGTGCAAAACGGCCGTGTATAATTAATGTGAAGTTGGTAATCTAATTATGACGACCAATGACGGCCCGTGTCGGTGCCAGGCACGTTCATATGTCGAAGAAGGACGATTAGATTATCTATATTACGAAGAATACTAATAACATAACGTTGATGTCAATCTCGGTAAAAAAGGGGATGAAAATGCAGCTACAGGGCACCTTTGAATTAGTATTTCTATCATCACAAATAAACGTTTCCAAGAATAAGCTGTTATGTATGAAACATAACACTCTTGCCAAATTTTCCTATTAACTGTAAATTCAGTTATTTTCGCGGGGACTTTATTCCGTGGTAGAATAAACACACACGCAAACCTGTCCTTGGTGCTGAACACCTTCCACACACAGAAAAATCAATTTAGCAAGTATTCAAATTCATTTCTTGACATATAAAACATAGACAGATATTGATTATGTAAATTAAGAATTGATTAGCATAATTAATGAGAAAATGTTGTAATTCAGCAATGGTAACTGCCTGTAATTTTGGCATGCTTGGTGAGAAGTAAAAAAACATCCTTAAATGACATCTCCTATGTATATGTACACTGACGCACACAAAATACAATTGGCACTGTCTGCAATATCATTTTGTAAGGTTTTATTTGGGTTGCAGCATAGAACTAACACTGACAGCAACTGTAACACCAGAACGAAATGAAACAACCAAGCCAGATACCACAACTATGCAAAATAAACTTTAGTACTGTAACACTACTGATAAACCAAACTCTTGATCAACTGTAAAATGAAAAGAATCTATCTGGTGTGACTAGTAAATAAAATCTGGTGATCTGTGATCAAATAAAATGGAAGAACAGCCGTAAAATAAATTATTTTACAGCCAGAGAAATATGCATGAACAACATTGTATGTACTACTAGTATTCAGCTAGGCACCATTCCTTTGAAAGAGCAAAGATTGGAACCAGAAATGTAACGCCCTGGTCAAGGAGGGCGATTGTCCCTTTTTTATTAGAATGCTAGCGGGAAAAATACCAACTTTTCTATGAATAGAAACATGCACATAGAAATATGTAGAACTTTATACAAGTTTACAAATAGATTACTAAAGGTTACACCACTTTAACTAGTAACAAGTTTTTCTTTACTTTTGAGCTAAAGCAGGATAGAGAAACGGGTTCTAGTAAATCTTCCTTAGTGTCATCATAGCTATACCTTTACATACAAATATATAATTTTCATCTTCGTGCTGTTTCAAAGTACTTTCTGTCTCTCCCGTATTAGTTAAGTTGGTGTGACCTTGAAATAGAACATCAGTATAGTTTACAGGCCTGAAGTCCGGGCAGGGGCAGGTGACAGTTTTTAACAACAATTTCATCCTAAAGCTTGTATATTCCTGACACAATAGTTCAAGACAACTCTTACCACTGGCAGCAATAGTAATGAAAATATGTTTTTATAGATAGTGCACAAGAAATGTCTTATTTTTACAGCTGGGTTATAGTTGAACAGTTTATGCATTTTGAAAGGTAAATGTTTGTTGATGACATGTAAGCTCTAGTCCAATAGATACATGTACTGGTATGTCTCACAAAAGACTGTTTTGGATCATTCCAGTTAAAATTTCAGAAGATCAGGAATATTTCAGAAACCCCTCCTTACTTAAATCACCATCTCCAGATATATTATTTTGTTCTTGTCAGCCCTAATTATACCTCGAGTTACAAAAATTTCCTGCACCCTTTTTTGAATGGCATAACCCTCTGGTAGTTATGATTGTGTTTGTGCTACACACAAAAGTACAGCTCTTTTTAGAAGATAGTAATCCCTGACTGTTCCTAATGTCAACTGTCACCTGCCCTGGCCACAGCACAGGTGGGGAAGAACACAGGTGTGTCTGGGAGGACACACCTGGTCAGGAATGTTGGTTTATTCCATCACCATGGTAACAATGTCCGATACTCACAGTCTGAAGTTGGTCCACATGTTCCAAAAGCAAACACGTAATACATATACACAATGTATAGGAGAGAGTGACATCTACACAAAGTCACGGGCATATATACAGGCACACTGGCTCTGAGGAATCTGTAAAAACGGTCTGGAAATTTCCCTAGTGCAATTCCCTCGTGAAACATGTATGAGAATAACATATATACGAATATCGTGCAGTATTTCCATATGTAACATCATGCCACACTGTACAAGGTATTCACAATATGTACGTTACATGTTTACACACTCTCAATATGGGTATACTGTAACACTTAGGTAACACTTGGTCTCAGAAATAAAGTCCATAGATACATTGTACGATTTACAGCTACACTGTCTACTGCACATTATGTCTTCATGCAAGCAAAAAGCATGGACCATATCATATTATATGGTACAATATATAGTACATGGCTAAGTTTTTCTTAATTGCAATCATTCCCTTATGCTAGCAGCTAGGCTATATAAATCTATTTTGCCTATAAGATAAATTTTACTCCCTCCTAACTCTGCTCCAACGGCAGATTTACACTCAAAATCTACTTTTTCAACCAAAAAATCATTTCACAATAATGATATAAACATAATTACTCTACAAAGCTTTTTTTTATACATTTTACAATTAATGTGGTACATGAGTGCATGCAAAACCACCACCAGATGGGGAAAAAATACAACAAAAATTCCGCCTTTTCCACATTTTCCAGTCACATCCCATGCAGTTTAACCTAAAGTACTGACAATTTTACTTCAAAACATAATTTAGTTTCAATGAAAACAAAACTTAAAGGAAGAGAAGGAAACCATCTATTTGTGAACTGTCAATATGAACACAAGAATAACTGATTCAACAAATACCTCTAAAGTAACTGAACGATTTTGTGATAAATGTCCTTACAGACACTGCCTATTTGCCAACACTAAATGCTTTCAGTGACTCCAACAGAATCAACATATCCTCCACCTTAGCAACCAGTCAACTACTCCAACATTGTGCTAGCCTCAAAGGCAAGCATTTCACCTCTCAAAATATCAGGCACTGGATAATGCACAGAAAACAATCACTTTTTCCTTTCTCCATTTTTACCAAAAGGTTCTCCATCCGCAAAACACACCTGACCATTACAGTCTCTGGAGCGCTGCAGATTTGCAACTAGTTAACCTTCAGCATGCTGAATGACCAGTGCATCTACACCTTTCTAAAAGAGTGGATCCACCAACAACATCTTGAGGGTTAAGAGCTGTAAGCAGCATGCAACAAGTCCATGAACATGTAAGCTTTCCATCTACTGACATATTTCTTCAAGCTATCCAAACTTTACCATTTACACTCGATTTCAAGAAACATTAGGACACTTGGAAACCATACAGAAAGCCCTTCAAGACAAACCAGTGTCTTTGAAATTGCTCACACCACATATGAAGAGTACACTGAAGAGTCCTTCACCCTACAATTGCATTTTTTCCTTCTGTAGCAAACTCCAAGATGTACAAAGTCTGGTCTAAGCAACGTGAATGCCTCGATAGCTATCACCACCACCACTGTTACAATTGCTTGTACGTGGTCACCAAACCTTCCATACAAAAATAGACTTTCCCCTTTATACATGTCATCACAACATATCCTGTCCTACTTACATACACTCCTCATGCCTCACCTTCAAGCTTTTGTTAGTAGTTCTCTTATTAATAGTTACGTTATATTTATTGTATTGTACAATGTTTTTGTCATTTTTTTGTAGTAGTGGTAAGAACATATAATATATACAATCCTGTATTATAATTGCATCTGTACATAATTTTGTTACATTTATGATGTTTTTTATCATTTTGAATTCTTACTTATGTACAGCATATAATGAATGCTATTTATATGCCTTTCATGTCTTTTATGTGTACAAAGTGAATATCAATTATAACTAAATATGCAATGTGCCCAAAAAATAACATGAAAGAAATGTGAAACTTAGCCTAGATCAAACCAAAAATTATCATACTAGGTAATGCAAGTAATTTTTTTTTGCTGTTTTTCTTGTTTGTATGATCCTTTCTCTCTCTCTCTCTCTCTTGTATGATACAGGATGTCAAGTCTCTTTACCACATGGGTCTACGTACAAGTTCTTTTAAATTTCTTAGCAACAATACAGAAACCTACAAAATGTAAGTCTGTACAGGTAGTTAAAACTGTTAACTTGTATTGTGAAAAGGTTCACACCAAAATGTACATGTACATGGTGTTGTGATTTACAATAGCATGTCTGTCTGTCTGTACAACAACAGTCGTTTAAGAAAATAAGAAAGTATTCCTGGTAGTCATGAAAGAGTAAATACTATACATTTGGAGGCTGTGAAAGATTTGTACAGTTGTTCCATTTTAAACTTTTAACATTCTTATTTTTTTTAGGGGGGGGTGTATTTTACAAACATTGCAACCTCAGTTACAGCAGGTCTGATGTCTTGTATTGCTTCATCCTTAAATATGACCAGCATTCACAAAGCAGAACTTCCTTATCAAAGGAATAGTCAAAGATCTAACGTGATCATACATTCACGACAGTAATACTTCAGTGTAATGCTTAAATATCATAAATCGAAATAAATAGGCCCTAATGCAAATGTTTAAACAGAAATAATAGATTTGTAAATTTTTCATGGAATAGCTATGTACAGCATTTTTTTGTGTATTTTTGCTATAGGTATGATTTATGCAGTTATGTACAGTAATTACATTGGAGAATGAGATGTACAATGTGGTATGTCATGTACAGTGGTGCCCCATTATTTGAAGTAAGTGTACAGTCCGTTGGTGCCTGATACGTAGCCTACGTTGGCATCCAACGCGAGTGGTTTGCTGCCCTTGTTGTCCTGGCCAGGCTGGGAGGGGTTCTTTGGTCGCGGCGGCGCTCGGACCACGTTGGCGTAGGACATGGTGGTAGGAGTAGCGCTGGCGGTCTCCTGGCGAACCGGGGGCGCCGCCTGGGCACTCACAGCAGGCTGTGGGAACTGCAGGGAGATTAGTGTAATGTTAGACAAGAAGTTTTCCCTGTACCCCTGCTTACGGATGTTGTTTTAGAAATGTAAGGCAAGACCAGACATATTCTGAAATGTCTTCTTTAACAATCATATCTAGATAAAGTCTTATTCACCTGTAAAGGTATCTAAGTTGTAAGAGGTGGTCAGCAACATTTTTACATTTCTTTCCATTTAATTTCCATCTCTCCATGTATTAGCTTTTTCTGAACCATACAATCCAAACCTTCAAACTGCTCCCCCCCCCTCCCACGTAATGCTTGAACAGCACTAAACCTTATAATTATTGACTACAAGACAACATAAAGTTGATGACCTGGGGTGGTACCTGTGTAAGAAAGCGTAGTGCTTCAGGTATATCTGCCTGGAGATGCTGCCGCTGTTCTGTTTGGCTGGGTGTTAGGAAAGGCTGTCCTTGCTGTGGTGGCTGTCCAGGGAGATATCTGCCAATCGGCTGCTGTACCTCCCCCCCTCGGGCCACCTGTCGCTGGTACAGCGGTGTCCCCTCCCTCGTCCTGTGGCTGTCTGCCGGCTGGGCAGGGGCTGACCCGGGGGTGGGGGGGAAGTCCTGCTGAGCCTTGGCCTGCTGCTGCCGGATGAATCTGGGCGGCGGCTGGTAGCTGTAGCGACTGTTGGGACCCTGACGCTGCTGCTCCAGAGCTAACTGTGCGAGCGCACTGTTCTCGCTGAGGCTCGGGACCGGCATGGCGTTGTTGTAACCACGGTTAACACTGGTGTTGTCCGTCCCACTTCCCCTGTGCATGCCTGCTTGCATCTCTGTTGGCATCAGCCGTCCGCCTGTGTTAGGGCCACCAATGGCTTGGTTCACACCACCGACAGCCTGGCCACTACCACCAAGTGGAACATTAGCCCTCTCCAACATCTGGTTTCCTCGACCGGGAGGTTGGTTTGAGCCTCCCATGTTCAGAGCTCCACTGCCCATGGGTTGTCCATCTGCTCCCATGCCAAGGCTGGCTCCGCGGAAGGGCTGGTCCCCTCGGAGGAACAGCTGTCCACCGGCACTGACCTGTCTGGAGTCCCTGTTCCCAGTGAGTTGGGCACCGGTGGTGAAGTGTTGGTCCCCTATAGTAGGTGCAGTGCCAGGGCAGCGACTGTTTAGGCCTTGCTGCATAAACCTCCCTTCAGGTGGTACACCTCTAGGAAATCCTGAACCAGACAAACAGGACCAAACTCACACATTAACAAGGGTCACAATTCAAACATAGCAGGCATGTCCTGAACTGGACAACACTAACACATTATAGCAACAGGACCCAAAATAAACATTGAACACTTTAACAAAGCAGATAATGATGAAGTCAAAATGATTGGTATACTGTGTTTTTGCAGGGACTTTATTTTGCGGAAGGAGGGGAAAGGAGGCTTTTGCGCTGTATGAAGTTTGTGATAGTAACAATGAGGTAACACAATAAAAATACAAAAATCCTATTTGCAGTGATACATTTTATAGTATGGTCAAGGTGTCCCTACAATGATTTAGAGATAAAACCACTGCAAACATCTGGTACATTACTACATAAAGGACACATATGTTCACACACACATGATATGTCAATGATATACAGTACCTTGTTGTCTCTGGTCCATGCTGCCCATGTGAGGGCCGCCCAGTGGACCCGGGCCTGGCTGGGACGTTGGGCTGAGGTGTTCAGGAGGGAACATGTTGGGACCTGCAGGCCGCAGGGGCTGGCCCGTGTATCTGTGGAGCATTCAGTACAAATACATCTGTATATGGACTAATTTTGTACATCAAAGTTACAGGTACAGGTTCTTATCAGCATGGTTACAACGTCAGTGCAAAGATCTTTACAACCAGTCATGTCAATGAAGGTTAGACATCCAGGTAATGAGTACACAAGGAAATTGTTCTCACTGGATGAATGTTCAAAACTGTCAGACGTTTCAAGTAGCATCCACTTTTTGTCAGCGATTAGCAGAATTAGTTGAACAGGTATTTATCCAAAAACTATGTATATGATATGTAAATGACGGAGGCAAACAGGTATAAATGCAACCAGACAAACAAGTGTAAATATCTACATATACGTTGAGTCGCAGCTTGCAGGTGTATAGTTTGCCTGACCTGGCTATGTGGTGCTGTGCCTCCTGCTGTGCCATGCTGCCAGGCGGCAGGTTCCCTCTCCACCCAGCCTGCTGCTGTCTCTGCTGTTCCGCCGCCTCGCTCAGCCGCTGTGCCTCGAACATCTGCTCCAGGTTTCGCCGCGTGTTCCCGCCGCCCAGCCCACCGAACATCCCCAGCCGGGCGTTACTGGCACTCCCCACCCCTGGCTCCCTTCCCTCCGGGTGTTCCTGAACTCTCCCTTCCACAACTGGTGGCGCCATGCCAGGGTAACGCTGGGACTCCTCCATTACTCTGGTCTGCAGGTTGAACTGTCTCCCCTGCTGGGGGTTTTCCCTGTAAGGTGAGACGGGTGGGGCTGCTCCTTGTGGGTGAGGGTGGGAGGGGGGCATGAGAGGCGATGTGGGGGACTCACTACCACTAGCCGACTGGTTCGTAGGACTGGGTCTGGGCTGGATGTTTCGCGCCGTGTGGTTGAACACAAAGCCACGGGACGTCGCAGGGTTGTTGTTTGGAGCGCTGGCTCCGTCTGGCCCCCGTCTTTTCTGACTGGAGGATCCACTACCAGCAGTAGGAGATATGTCCTGTCTATCTGTCCCCCGCGGTCTGTCAGGACCCTGGCCGGCCACAGTCCCACCCCGACTGGCATCCCCCTGCCCCTGGTCTGCCATGCTGGTGGGAGTGGGGGTGGTCGGGTGGGCGCCTGACGTGGGAGGGGCCACGGCACCCTGCTGCTGCAGCAGTGGGTTCACAGCGAAGGGGTGCATGATGGGGTGGTGGGGGAAGACCCGTGGGTCTACGGGGAGCAGCATGTGGGTGTTGTAGTGCGGGGGGATGGGTCGGAAGGGCCGGATGGGCAGGAGCATGTTACTGCCATACGCTGAAGGCACGTACAGTAAGCTAGCGCCGGTGTACGGGTCGATGCGCTGCACAGGGCTGGGGGGCTTCCCGAAGGTTGGACGAGGAGCGACAGGTGGCGTGAAGGCCCGCATGGGGCTCCCCGTTGGGCCGATGGGTACCTGTCCGTCTGCCGGGTGGCGGGGTAGGAACGGCTGCGCCCCTCGTGGAGACACGTTCCAGTTCCTGGGCGCTCGTGCCATCTGGGCCATCTGTAGGGCCCGCGGGATGAACTCGGGCGCCAGCGGGTTCAGCACGTACGTCTTCTTCAGCTCCACTCCGTCCAGCTGGGCCTTGATGGCGGCCCAGGTGATGCCGTGCAGGCTGGCCGCCTCGCTACACTTCTCCAGGTACACATCCCACAGTTTCCTGTCATCAACACAAGCACGCATGGACTTGTTTGTTTGTTTATTTATTGGGAATCTCCATTTGATTTAGTAATACAAGATATGCATACTATTACTTAATGTATCTAATGATGAAAACTAACAATGAAAACTAATATAAGATGAACTGTAGCAGAGGATGTATGGATGTAACCAGGTTCTATCAGCATGTAGATTAATCAATGTTGTGCAAACACATATGCAGCAATTAAACAACAAAGGAAATGCTTGCAAAAATGAAACAAGAAATACATGAACAGCAGACTAGCTAATGAAATCAAGTCACCACAGTCATCGTAAACATGACTCTACGCACCTGCACTTGCCAATAGAGAGTACAGCTACAGGGTCGCCTACCACAGCCACGAGGGACTGAGCACGAGTTATGGCAGTGTTCAGCAGCTTGGCATCAGACAAGAAGCCGTAGTCAAGCTCCTGCTCCTTGCTGACACTTTCTGAGACGCTCTTGCACGTGTGTCGGGTTCGGACGGTGCTCAGAAACAGTGCACGGAATTGCTTCCCTACAAGAACAGGAATCAAGAAATATTTTACTATTGCAGATTAATGAGCACGAAGAGTGTTTTGAACAAGCACATGGCTGTGTGGTTTTGTACTGTGTGCTTTCTAATCGTCTGCACCAGGATTACAACTGATTTACTATAGAAGATTAAAAACGGCTTTCCAGTGCTATAGCTATTAGGTACACTGTTTTTATTTCTTTAAAAGAACACTTCATACAAACTACAAAAGAAACAGCAAGAATAGTTGTTCTGGTTCTCTAACCTTGAACGTTGAGAACCCTCTCTACGCTGACATTGTATAGTCGCTTCTTGCGTAGCTCTCCACGGATCCTGAAGACCTGGTCCGAGTACGGAGTGACCACTCCGATGCTGGACTCGTCCACGGGACCCCACTCCTCTGGCCACTTATCCTGCAGTTCCTTCACACGCTCCACAACCTCAAACACCTGTAACAGATGGCAGCAAACAGCCACGGGTGATTATGTAATCTGTAACATCTACGTACATCTTTCAGGTACATTAACAAACATGAAATAGTTTTTTATAGTCGAACAATGGATAATTCCAAACTGAAACTACAAACTAACTTACCATGGTCAAATGTTATAAGGTAAATACAGGTACAAATGTACATGTTATTTTTCACTCATCAATAATCTGATTTTTTGTAGCCCCTAACCTTGAGTGGCTCTTTTAGAATGTGCGCACATGCACGTACGCACACACACATGCACACGTACACACAGACGCATGTACACGTACACGCATACGCATGCACACGAACACAAAATTACACTGTGCAGGTATAGGTAGGATTTACACTGTTCTGACTGCCCCCCTTTTGTTATCCCATAATGGACTAGCCCTAACCTCTGCATTATTGTAGAAGGAGGTGCTGTTCTGGTTCTGTACATCCTCCCCACGGGCTGTGAAGAAGGTGAGAGGGAAGTGCTCCTTGTGTCGTGGCTGCTTACCGCTCGCCACCAGCTTCCCTTCATAGAACAACTTGGATGTGTACTCAATGATACTCTGGAGACAGAACAAATAAATGATTAGCCAATCACAAATATTTCTTTTTTCTTTTACTACATTGTCCTTGCTTGAAGTTTATTAGCAAGTGGTCATTATATTAACTGACAAATCAGTCTGGCATTGGTACAAATCTCACCCTGATGCACAACTGTCCATACAATTTGTCTTTACAGCTAAAATTACCCAAGACCACTGATGAAACTGATCAGATTTGGTCAATGTGAACAGGTGGTCAGGATTCAAAATGCTTGTGTCAAAGGGAAAACCCCCAAAGGGTGATTACATTGGCTATTTGGTCCTTACATTAAGGTGGTCACTTGTATATGGGTTCCACTGTAGATATCAATAATCTCAAAGTGTGACTGTGGATGAATGGTACACTTGCACTAACGCCCCCTACCTGATGTGAGCGGTAGTTCTCCACCAGGAGGATCTTACAGGGGTGGTTGGAGGGGTAGGCATGGTACAGCCGCTCCAGTAAGGACATGTGGAGGTTCCTCTCACGGGCAAAGTCTGAGTACACATGAGGGCTCAGCTGTACAGAAAACACAGTGAAAGGCATGGTTAGCATTTTCTGGCAGCAAGACTGAACACAATCCTTCAATTCGCAGAGAAATTTCTGACGCAAGCTCCAAGCATTGGATTGTCTTTTCCTCAATGTCACTGTAACTTGGAAAAAGTAAATCCATGGATGAGATTCTCAGCGCGAGCCTTGGTGCGAATTTTTAACTGCAACCAACGAAATGTTGACCCCGAATCACTGTAAATTGTTTCGCTAAAAAAAATTCATAGCCAGTGATGTTGCGTAACAAAAGAAAAATATTGGGACTTTATTATGTGCGGTGCAATCAAGTATGGGGGATTCGCGGGGATTGCGGCGCCCGGCAAACCCATGAAATGGGGGTGCGCACTTTATTCAGGTTTTCCTGTTGACTATCTCAGCTGGCAAGAAGGGGCTTCCGATGAAGCCCAAATCGGGGGTGTGTCCTTCATTTGGGGTGCGTCCTTTATTGAAAGAAATACAGTAACCATGTACAAGTGGTGTGACAAACCTGCATGTGATCTCCTGCCAGGACGATGCGGGTGGAGCTTGTTGCCAAGGCAACGGGCATGATGGTCTCACACTCCATGGCCTGGGCTGCCTCGTCCACCAGGATGTGAGTGAAGGTGCCTGGGGAAACACACAATGGTGGGCTGGGCACTACAAATGTGTGTCTCTTTAGGATCAACTTATACTTGTTGTTATACCAGTTCTTGATCTGACACTATTCATGCTGTTGTGCAATAGCAATCAAGGGTATAACCAAATATTTATCAATGCTTGTTTACGTCAATAGATGTACATTGTAATTCTCTTCACTTTCAACTATAGCCCTTCAACAGTTTTAGTATCCATCTAATGGAACAGAGCTTCCAGTACTCTTCCAATACTCTTTCTTGTTGTACCTCACTACATAATCAACACTTAAACCAAAAGTAGACTATTACAATAGTTTGCATGAGTGTTTTACTCTATCTCACAGTTGCTGAGACTGTAGAATACCTGGGTCCAGTTCCAGATGACAGAGGTAGCGTGAGGTACTGAGGGTGGCCACCACCATGCGGTGTTTCATCACGTCCTCCCGCGTCGGCATCCTGAAGTTGTAGCCGCTGTCGGAGATCAGACAGTAGCCCTGCACGATGGGGTGGACCGTCCGCACCCAGCGGTTCCGGTAGTACACCCTGAGAGGGCGCGCCTCCTCGTGGTTGGTCAGGACGTAAGGGTGGAGGTACTCCTTGATATACAAATCAGCAGCACTGCAGAAGCAGTACAAGAAACCTTGTCAATACAGTATAACCTTTAACACACTGAAGCAGTGCCTTGGCTCCCATTTCTCTATTGGTTATGGAGTTAGTTAGCAGGGAGAAGGATACAAATTAAATGAAAGTTACAATTTGTTTCCATATGCATAATAAAATATTATGTGAAATTTCTTGGTAACTGTTCAGAAATGCCAAGAAACAGTTTCTCAAGCAACTGGATATAATTTTGGAAATGGTCAGACGTTTCAGGTAGCATCCAGTACCTTTTGTCATGCAGTGACACTAGAGACTTGCAGGAGAAAGGCAGGTTCATAAGCATGGACTAATGATTGATATGCAAATAAGTAATGGTTGGCATCCTTCTGTCTCGAGAGACAATTGAGACCATGTCAGTTCCTACACCTGAGGAGGGTTGACATGATGGCCTTCGCTTGGGTTTGTTTAAGGTGGATAACAGAACAGGTTGCGAATCTGAGACCCACACTTTGGGCATCCGTCTTCCCCAGCGGATCCATACCCAGCGAATATGTTAAGACATAAAGATTTGCATATTATGATTTCCTCACCTGTTGGAATGTGTACAGATGAGGATGCGAGTGTTGGGTTGTTTGAGGATCTGTTTGGCTGCCTGAGCCAGGGTGAAGGTCTTCCCTGTGCCGAAGGGTCCACACAGCAGGATGGGAGGCAGGGGCACCGTCAGGGACGACGTGATGGCCAGGATCGCCTCCTTCTGCTTGGCATTCAGCCGCAGGTCTAGATCTTCACTCCACTGTCTGTTCAACAAGTAGACCAACATGCACCCTTTTAATATGCTGTATGCAAACATTAGCACTTTGCAAACAAACAAGCAACCAACCAACAAAGCAAACAAACAAACAGAATATATTTCCTGAGTTTACTAGGTTGCCAAGTTCCTCCTCTTTTGATGGGATAAATGCAAGGAGTAAAGAAAATATGAAATTTATCAAAAGTTCATTTTGCTGATGTTTATGAATGAATCTACTGTATGTGTGCACATAGTATGAAATTACAGAGATCTACTCAACCCTGCTGTTTTATCACAATATTACTTAGTGACATATACAAAAGTACAATGCATATTGGACACAGCTGGGCTGCAGGATGACTTACCTGTGTGGATTCCATGGAATGTTTGTGGGACGTTGCACCTCCGGGAAGAGGATGGACATGTCTGGCACCTTGTCTACTGCAAAGTGCATCTCACATATGGGTAACCTGGGAGAGGTGCAGCATCACGACAATAAGTAAACAAACAAAAAGATATACAGCTACATAATGTACACGGTAATGTCTATCCTGAACTATTAAATCATCCCTTGAGTCTATGTGCTACAAAGATTTAACAATTCAAGGCCTCAAACAAACAAATACTGTTGGACATTTTGTTTCACTGGACACTGTAAGAATATTGGACACTGAACAAGACTTTCCTGAAGGGGGTGAAAGAGGCTATTTACATCAGGGCCCATCACCCTTCACTCAACCGCGATGGGGGTCGACATTGTCTACCAGATATTACCTTTGACCCAGTGTTGACATCATACATGTACTTCAGAGAGGCCACGTTACAAGCCTCACTGGGTCAGTCTACTCACTAGGAAGACCAGAGTGACTGGTTGAAAGCTCCAGGTGATGGAACTTTATTGTGTTGGATAATAAGTTTTAACATTAAACAAATTCTATTAGACATTATCTATTATTTCAGTGCAAGAGCCTGATCAGACCTGTTGAGTTGTAGCTGCATCTCTGCCTTCATGTCCTTGTCTGCCATTAGCTTGAGGTCCGCCACACAGGTGGCAGACAGGCGCAGGAAGATGAACCCCTTCCCCTTCTCCTCCACCACCGCCTCGTAGATGGTGTCGGGAGACGAGTCCTTCCCTGCCATGGGTGCCAGCAAAACAGCCTGGACACTGGACACAAGTACCAGAGTTATCAACCAAGGATTGAGGTGTTCAAGAATTCATTCTTTCCTAGAACTATTGCAGAGTGGAACTCACTGTCACCAAGTACAGTAGAGGTATTGTCATTAGATAGCTTTAAGCAATGTCTAGAGTTAGAAGTTCAAGTGTTAGATGTAACAAGTCCTTCGGTGTAAGATAGACAGCTGCCACCGCGCCGCGTGCCTGCAAAGCTGGTGTGTTACGCTAAAGGGCGGTTATACCAGATATACAGATACAGACAGATACAGAAGGGCTTTCCAGTTAGCATTGATGCTCTAAATAACTTTTTGGTTGTTGAAAGTAGATGATACTGAGTAAAATTACATCAGGGTTAATATAAAATATATGACATTTACAGATGGCTTAAGTGCACAGTATTTTCCACAAGTATGGCTGTTATCTTGCAAACCTCAAACAAAAAGTGGTATGAGCATAATTTTTCTGTCAACCTTGCCAGGCGTGAATTGCTGAAATGTCAAACATTGCAATTTCCTGCCAAACTTTAAAAAATTAATTCCTTCAGCAAAGGTAACAGGTACATTGTTGTATATGCCTCTTGAATCCTTCTTCACAGTAAATACTTACCATATGAATCACTCCTGACTACTGACAATGACAGGCAACCAAACTTTAAACAAATAAGTTAAGGCCCTACCTGTTGAGTATGAGTCTTCCTGCCATGGTGTCCTCTGACAGGTCCTCTATGAGTTTGACCCGTGAGTACAGCTCGCCTGACTGGGCGTACTTGGCACCGCTGGTCCCCGGCAACAGCATGAAACTCTTCACCAGCTGCAGCTGTACCTTCATGTTGAACCTGTAAAGGAACAGCTTTCAGTTAAGTCTGTTTGTAACATATATAATCTGCCCCTTTTTTTGGCTTTTCCGTGTTGATAGACTGTTTTTACACCTCTGGATTACTACTCTATACAATGATTTTCTGGATAAGGCAACACAAATTTAATTAGTTGGTTCTCGGACTTGCCTCTTTATTTTTCTCTGATTTAGAAAAAAAAATTTTGGTTCCTGAAAAACTAGAAAATGCTCATATTTTGCCCCCAACGGTTGAGAAAGGTCCTTTTCTTCCTAGTTGTTACAATTTTTCCATCTATTAGTGCAGTGGTTTGATTAAAAGTTCTTAAGTTTAAGTTTTTCATTATATACTAAGGAGTCTTGTGGAAAAAACAATAATAAACAAAGAAATGTCATACTGAAAAAAAGCAAGCAAAAAAGCATTTTCAAGCCTTCGGGATATATTCTGCGCCATATGAAAATTTAAGGAAAACAGCATTTTGCATATAATAAAATCTAGAAACATATAATAATGAGACTGAAGAAGTACCTGCTGATCTCCTTGTACTGTGCCATCTCTTCAATGTACAGCAGGTCGTGCATGCGGCCCTTGTAGTTGTTCTTGGTCAGCGGCCCGTCCAGCACTTCTCGTGTAAACAGCTGATCGGGAGAGGCGGGCGGCGTGTAGAACGACATCAGGCCCTTGTCATTTTCCGTGGCGTCTGCCGGCTTGGGAAGGAACTCGATGATGGTCTTGTTGGTGTTGCTCCAGCGTTCCCCGACACATAACATGCTGTTTCGAACCTGTAGGAAAACACAGTAAGGACTGCATCTTACACACCCAATTCTTAATTTCTTTCTTTTAATTTTTTTTATTTCAAAAAATAACAAAAAACACAAAGAAGTTCCAAGAAGATCTTGACAATTGCCCACAACACTTTCTCAACTAACAAGTACAAACATATTGTGTAAGACTACAGCATAATCATGCACAATGTAGGCTGAAATGTAGGACTGTCAGATCATTGTTATATCTAAATACAATAAATGCTAAAGTTACAAATAAATCTTGGAGTCAAATTTTCTGCATAAACACTGCAATAACAGTGCATCAGAATTTCACCTGTTGCAGACGACATCTTTTCCAACACAACATTTGAAAACTACAGATGGGATGTTAACCTTATATGTGCAAATATGACCTTAAATGAGACGTTCTGCCAAAGTGCTGTGCACAATACATTACGGGTTTTGTGCAGGTGCAGTACGTTCTGCCGATGTGCTGACTGTTCGGTACCTGATTTAGCCGGTTCATTTCTTCTGATGATGCCACGTCCACGCAGACTCGCTGCAGCAGCACCGGCTCCTGGCTGCCCCCGAAGTCGAACACGGCGGACTGGCGGAAGGTGCCGTAGATGCCGGTGTTGAAGCCCAGGCGGATGGTGTAGGTGACGGGGCTGGTGGGGGAGCCGGGTGGGTCGGTGCCGCTGGCGCTCCACTCCTGACACATGGGCGGCAAGTTGTGACTGGTCTCCTGCTGGTCACCGTTACTCGTCACGCTCGCCAGGTGGAAGTGTGACCGGTGCACGTCATACAGGAGCGCCACGCGGGACAGGTACACTCCAGGCTGGGGGGGGTTGCAATTCGGAGGGAAAAAAATTTAAGACAAGTACACAAACAGTTAGAGCGGGTTCAAACAACCACTCCTCATTTTGTCATCTATCAATGATAAAAACATGTGCAGACTGTAATAGGTTAATGTAGTGATTAAGTGAGACACAGTTCAATTCATCCTTTTCAAGGTGATACCATTAACCATCTCCACAACTTCCTGGGACACAAAGTTACAATTCCAGGTATTCTCAATAAAAGTAAGTGATTATGCATCACCACATACCCATGAGAAACTCTGCATAAAGTTGAAGGGTGAAAACCGTACCTTACAGTTGAGGGTGAAAGTCCAGGCATGGGAGGCCTGCTTACTGCTCACAGACACATTCAGCTTGTTGTCAGTCGTTACCATCACTCCTTCTACATGTTCATTCATCTGCACAGAGAGGTCATGAACATCATCATCCCATAGTTATTACAAGCTAAACGTCACTTGCTTCTATTCTGATTGAAGTGCAGAAACAATAAAATGGGAAAAAAATATTCAATACTAGAAAGGCCAACATTTGCTTAAGGTCATATTGAAGGGTGCCTGAGGACTTTTTGGAAATACTAGTATAGAAAAAAAACTCTATCTGACATGGTAGACTTTTTGGTCTATTTTTATAATCTATAACATATTTTTTGCCAGGGCCACATTTTGACCGCGAAATTGAACGACAAAGTTCGCAATTTTTACGCGCCATCTACCATCCGGGCTCCCATATATGGAGTGCTCTTCCAAATATGGAGTGCTCTTCCAAATAATGTGCACACCCCCTGGCCCCTCTGAAGCGAAAGCACGAGTCCGCTGGGCCACTTGAAGCAAGGAATGTGAACTGTCACAGTGTGTGTGAGCTTCACTTTGCCATTGGGAAAGGAAAAGACAATTTTCCTGATACTTAGAGCGTTTGTAAATACAGTACACCGTGTTATTTGTAGACCGCTAAGTAACCAAAATCTGCCAACTGCAAAGAATTTACGAAAACCTGCCATGCCGGCTAATCAAGTCGGAACACATATTCAACTGGAAATATACCACAGAAATCACCAAGAAAAAGGCATGGATTACGCCAACAACTTCCTATGAAAAAAACATTTGACTGCCAAAAAGAACGTTTGAGTTTGTTTTGACTGCAAAATGTTTGTAAATATACTACCGGTAGTAACTGTTATATGCAGTTGCAGGAAGAAGATACTAGTACTTGAACAAACATGACACAAGAACTGATTTCCGATCTGCAACGTTCTTTTTTTATTTAAAGAAATACAATACAAACAAACTTCAAGCTATCTTAGAGCGGAATGCATACACAATCTTACTGTAACGACGAACATATCTTT